ACAATGCTGTATATCAAATGCTGATTCAGAGCATATATAGCCTCTTATCAAAGCTTTTTCCAACCCTACAATGAAACTATCTGGTGTTATGAGTCTTCAACAGGCCCTTCCAACATTCTATAAAAGCCATCTGTTTCAGTATGTTGGGGAACATGGTAAGAACAGAGGATTCCATGAGACTGGCCCTTCTTTTGCTGTAAAGAAAGTGAGTTCCTTGATCAGAAACAATGTTGTGTGAAGTATCACACATCACAAGGCATTCTGAAACCCATGGATGACAGTTCTGACAAAAGCAAGGCATGTAGAGAAGGAAAATCTGTATTCAGCATAGCTATTCCAATAAGAACAAAATGCTGCGTTTCCATGTGATGTAAGTAACCTGCCATCAGGGAGCTGCCTACTGAGAAAATGGTGCCATCTCTAGGACTTAGTGTCCATCTCTGAATTTGGTGAGTTGGGCACTTAGTAGTGGGCATAGCCAGGTCAGGTTGGTGAGTGGAAGTCCATGTTGCTGAGCCCATAGAAAAATCTCCATCCCTGCCACCATGGTTGGTTTACTATGAGTCCATTGGGCAATGGCAAGAGTGGCTAGAGAAAGAGACTGAATGGAATCCACAGAATAGGTCATCCTATGCACTCAATTATTAAATTCCTTCTCTGCTGAGATAACCCTTTGGTGAGCATTTGCCCAGAGAGATCTAGCCAACATTGCTTTTCTCCAAATTTTTGTATCACCTATATTTATTCCAAGTCCCTGACTATCCAACCAAACCAGTGGTCATAACCCAAGAGTCAGTTGATAAGCATACCTGGCCATTTCTCCTTCCAGACAAATTCAATAAGCAGGTGCACTGCTTAAAGTTCTGCCCACTGGGAGGACTTCTCTTCCCACTGTTTTTCAAGCTTGTCCCAGAAAGGGGCTGAGGTTCTGCAGCTGTGCACAGTCATATGATTCCTGTACATTACACAGAACCATCTATAAACCAGACTTTGGACTTCTCTTCCACTGTCAACCACAGGGAACTCTGTGTATAGCATGAGTAAGTCCTTAAGCTCAATCACCAGCACCTAAAAATTTCATAAGAAACTTTCCAGGAAGCTACAGGTGCAATCTTCTCTGGAAGAAGGCACAGGAGCAAGAATGGGACCTTGGACATTTGGAACACCTCATGTGACTTCTTATGCCATCAGGGCTTGCTCAGGCCCAGACTCTTCCATATTGGATTATGGAGTTTTAGTGTGAACACTCAACTTTATGGCATGTTGAGTTGGATAATACCCAATTCATGATGAACAGATCAGAGCACATAGAAACTTGGTAGTCTATGATTAAGCATCTAGACTCTATCACAACTTACTAGTAGGCCAAGTTCTGTTTCCATAAAAAAGGAAAAGTCATTATCCATATAGAATGCCTAGTCTTTGCTTCAAAATCCTAACAACTTATTACTGAAACACATAACAAAAAACATCAGCTTGATACAATTTTACATTACTTACACCATTATGTCCCACATGTTACGCAGATTTCTGCCTGTGCAAATTAGAACCTCAAACAATTGTTCTGGAGTGCAGGTACATGAGGACATAGGTCACACTTTGAACTTCATTGTCAGGAACCTGCTGTCCCTTCAATTTAGTTTTTAGTCTATAAACAAAGAGAGACGGGGTGGGATCCTGAGAACCAGCATTGTCTTGTATGTCAACTGCCTCAGATGAGGCCCTTACCATTTCCTGGGGTGGTGTAGGTTTAATACTCTCGGACAGGTGTAGAGAGGCCAATACCACTGGGTACAGAGAAGCCACTTCCACTGGCAGAGAATAACTATAGAACTTAGGATCCCCCTGTCCCTACCTTCACTACGGTCTTCCCACAGGTCCCCATCACTGCTCACAGGACCCCATTCTTTCCCAATCAATGCCCTCTCTCTAACAGGGACACCTTGTGAGGTTGGGAGACCAACCTGCATTGTAATTTAGCCAGCAGCAGGATGAGATTCCATATTTGATTTTCAGCAGTCATAGTCCTACAGATACAAAAGCTAAGGCTCTCCTTCAGAGTACTCGTAGAAGCTTTGAGGTTATCACTGTGGCACTTGAGCCCCATCACATCCTCACAGACACACCATAAAGATTATTTAATCAGATATCTGGGCATCACATGAAGCAGTCAGGTTGGCACAAATTGTTTTTAATGTTTAATTAGAATATATTAGCTGTATATGGGGGATTCATTGTGACAATTTCAAATAGGCTTATATTGTACATTGGTTAGATCACTCCCACCGTCTCTCTCACTCAACCTGCTCCCTGCCCCTCTTCAAGCAATTGCAAGAGGTTTCATTGTTCTATTTTGTATAGGTATTTGATGTCCATAAATCATATTCCCTCAATCCCATTCATTCACCATCCCACCTCCCATAAGTACATCCCCCCACATACACTGTACTTGTTTTACAGTCCTAGCTTCCACTATTAATTCCAAATCAGTGTTCAAAGGGGTTTCTCGATATATCTCCACTGTGAGTCTACTTTACTTTGGTCCATTCAATCCCTTCTTTTCTCTCCCTTACCACTTCCCTCCCACCCCAAGTTTTCAGTAGCTTTCAACACATATTGTTATATCCTCTACCTTCACAGATGTTGTTTTATGACACTGCTGATGCTCTGTCACTGTCTTTTCCTTTCCCTCTTTCCCTGAGTTCCATAGAGTAGCTCCATTGTTACAAACATGTTCTACAGATGAGTTTGTATATGATCATGTTTGTTTTTGTTTACCTTTTTGGATCTATCTTCCACACATGAGAGAAAACATATGGCATTTGCCTTTGAACCTGACTCTGACTTACTTCATTTAACAGGATATCCTCCAGTTGCATCCATATTTAGCTTCAAACCACATGGTTTCATTCTTCCTTATGACTGAATAAAACATATATATATGTTTTATATGTATGCCACATTTTCTTTACTTATTCATAAGTTATAGGGAACCTGGGTTGTTCCAGAGTTTGGCTATTGTGAATAGTGCTGCAATGAACATCAGTGTACAGTGTCTCTGCTGTATCCTGCCTTACATTCCTTTGGGTGGATGCCCAGGAGTGGAATCACTGGATCATATGGCAGTTCCATCTTAAGCTTTCTGAGGAATCTCCATACTGCTTTCCATAGAGGTTGCACTAATTTGCATTCCCACCAACAGTGTATAATGTTCCTGTTTTGCTGCATCTTCACCAGTATTTGTTGTTTTTGCCCTCAAAGATAAGCTTGGCACAAATATTCACTATTACACGTGCCTGAGGACACACAGCTGGAAGATTTGGGAGCCCATATTTTCAATCACAAAGTCTATTTCTAGAAACATAACCTAACCACTAAGTTGGAGTATGCAGTGATTATAGGTGTGGTACCTTCAAGCCTCATAGCTCCACACAAAAAAATCTCAAATGTTAATAATGGTTTACTTCTATGACAAGGAAAATTACATTGTCATTGATGGTTTTCAATGGAATAAAAGTTCTATAATAAAAAGTATATTTTCTTGCTTTCTAGTATCCAGAAATATATAAAATTAAAGCTAGTGGAAGTGGGGTAGTACTAGATAGTCACAGGTGACTATCACTGTGTCCCAGAGAATAAAAATATATTTTTTGAAAATTACAGAGGAAGTAGTAGTTAGAGTATAGTTAACAAAATAGGCTTTTAGTGGCCAGATGAGAGGGCTCAAATCTGTAGTCCTAGTTACTCAAGAGATAGAGAGTGGGGGGATCATTGTTTGAGGCCAGCCTGGGCAAAATATTGTTGAGATTCCATCTTGAGATCAAGCTGAGCATAGCAGCACATAACTGTGATTCCAGCTACATGGCAGGCATAGATAAGAAGATCTTGGTCCAGGCAAGCCTAACTAAAAAAACACAAGACCCTACCTGAAACAAAAAGTAAATTAAAAAAAAGTTGCTAGGGGTTTAGCCCAAAAAGGTAGCGCTCCTTCCTAGCAAGCCTAGGTCTGTTCCAATCCCAGTAACAGCAATAATAATAGTAGTAGTAATAATAATGCCTTCGGTTCAACTTTTAAAACATTCTCTTTAAATATAAATTGCATGAACATTTCTCATTTTAGCAAAGTAGATATGCAGAGTTTGGGGGTAGTTTACCCTTTTTGATTAAGATCACAAAAGTGGAACCCATTTCCATCAAGTTTGACGGCTTCCAATTTTTTCAAACAGTGGACTCATTATTCAAATAATATGTGTGAAGTAAAAAATACATAATAGATTTGAAGGAAAGGTGGAAGAGAAGGAGAGAAGTTCTGAAGCCAAGATGAGGAAATTGGGGAGGAAGGGAAGTCAGGTACAGGCCCAGAGACCCAAGCATTTGGCAACTCCATCAGCAAATTTGGACTTCCATATAAGACAATTTAGAAAGGACTATCCAACATATCTTAAAGCAACTTAAGTAATAAAATTATTGTAACCATTTTTAAATCTCATAAGTATATTAAAGCTGTAGGTCTAATCACTATTTTAATTGAAGTGCTCTAAAATGTGACATCATATAAAATACATATACATTTCATTAAATGCTACATCTCATTTTATGTGCTAGACTTGAATTTTTTTGATTCTCAAGTAGTGTCCATGTCCTGAGGCACTTAATTCTTGTCCCTGCCTGTGAGTAATATTCATCTCTTGACTATATCTGTCAAAAATGCAAATTTGGATTTTACTGTAAAAAATTAAAGTAAATTATACCTAATGGACTTTTAAACATACCTCTCTGACATAACCCTTAATTTAAGGTGGATAATTTTTCTCTTTTAAGGTCTAGTTGGGATTACTTTTGACCAACGATGTACTTCTTTTGGTTTTCTCTTATTTTCTGATGAACAGAGTGACTGTAATAAACCCTGATCCTGCCTTTGGTCTGGATATTTAGTAGCTATGTATTCGTTTTCTTTGATAGCAACACACATTAATATTTATAACCACTTTCCTTTGCAGTATCTCCCAGATGGCTCTGCACCCAGTGCACATGTTGAATTTTTTCTTTTGCCATATCCCAGTGAAGTTCGTAGGAGAAAAACAAAGTCTGTTCCAAAATGCACCGACCCCACTTACAATGAAATTGTACGTATGATTCATCTCTTGTCCAGTCATTTTGTACTTTTCTTACCATCTTTTAGTTTAACAACTAAGTATGGAAAATTTGCAGAAATTGGCAGCATTATTCTATAAAGGAATGGTATTTCCCAAAATAGTCACAGAGTACTGATCACTGTTCTAGAAGCTACGGGAACTAGAAAATACAGATACTGCTTTAAAAGCTATTATGAGCTCGTTTTCAAATTATGGCTAACCTCCAACAAGAGCAGATTTGTTTTGCATAGTAACATCATTCCTGACTTCATCTTACTTTCTCTTACCTTATTTTCCTGTTCACAATTTTCCTTACCTAATAATTTGAACACAAGCTGAACTACATATAACAGCTAGTCTCACAAATTCTCTTTTGAAAAAAATGAAAAAAAATACAAAATACAAAGTAAAGTGATTACATTATAAATAACTCTGATTCATTTGTAATGAAGAGTTTAAACATCCAGCCCCTTAACTTCTAAGGCAAATCCTGCATTTATTCTCCATGTATCCATGCTTTCCTTGCTAATTCAATTATTTGCTTTTTTTTCTTTCTATCTCATGCTCCAGATCCTCCACTCAGAAATCTTTAAAAAGCAAAAAACAAAGACACCCTCCTTGCTCATCCTTTTGAAGCAAATTTTCTTTCCCTGCTCTGACTTTCCAACTTTTACAGAATTAACCTTCACACTTCTCTCACTTCTTTACTTCCCATCCACCCTTGAATCCTTTGCAGTGTGAATTCTGACCTTTCATGCTATACTTTATTCAAATGGCATCAATACACTCCTAATTGGAAAATCCATTGAGCCCTGATGTCCCTTCCCTCAGCCAGCTATTCAGCAACACCACTGACTGTACCTTTTTTGAAGTCTCTCTTTTGCTTTTTGAGTTCTACCTTCTTTACTCCCTCCCATTTCTGCTAACCACTCTCATTTTCTTTCATTGCTTTTCTTCCTCTTAAAATATTGTTCCAAGGTCCATTCTCCCCTCCTCTTCAATTATGGTCAGTCCTTACTTCCCATGGGTTCTGCATCTGAAAATTCAACCAACTTTAGATCAAAAATATTTGAAAAAAATTGTTTCTGTACTGGATATGTATGACTTACTTTTCTTATTATTATTCCCTAAACAATACAGCATAAAAACTATTTACACAGAATTTACATGGTATTGGGCATTATGAGTACTCCAGAGATCATTTAAAGTATCCAAAATGATGTTCAAGAATTATATGCAAACACTATAATTTTATAAGGGATTTGGGCATCCTTGGATTTTGGGTTTTTTAGGGGATCCTGGCACCAGCCTGCAATGGATACCAAGGGACAGTTATTTACACTTTTAAAATTATCAAATGTTTTCATAAATTTTCTTTTTATCATCTACTTGTAAGTTGCATCTGAATTTATTCCCTAAGACCTGGGTTCTCTCTCAAGCTTTTGAGCCTGTTACTCTTCCTGATTACTGGAGAGCTTCACTTAAATGTCTCCTAGGCACTTTTAAGCCTATCTTTCCTCTTCTCTTTAAGACACCTTCTAATGACACCTCCTTCTTACATGTCCAACTAGCTACCAAGCTTGTCAGTTCTACTTGTGCAGCCACCAGCATCCTAAATCTATCATCTCTTGCAACTTCTCTGTTTGAAGTCCTTGACACTTTAGTCATTATCATAGCCCCTATCTGCCTTCTGTCTTGTGCTTTTTATTAAATCTTTCACATATGGAAATTGCATATTTTTATAGAAAACTACCATACTTTTTTTCATAGAAGTTGTACAGTACTCCCTTCTTATTTGCAGTTACTTTCTGCAGTTTCAGAACTGCAGATAACTATGGTCTGAATAAGCAGAAAATTCCAGAAATAAACAAGCAATACATTTTAAATTTCATGTGATTCTGAGTAGTGTGATGAAATCTCATGCCCTCCCACTCTATCCTGCATGGGTCATATATCGTCCTTTTTCCTGCCTGTCCCTGCTGTATGTGCTACCTACCCTATAATCACTAAGTAATCTTAGTTATCAGCTCAGTTGTCACAAATCACCTTTATTTTACTTTAAAATGGCCACAAAGCATAAGAGCAGTAATATTGGCAACTTGGATCTGTCAAAGAGAAGCTGTGAAGGGCTCCTTTAAGTAACATCTTCGTAAGAAGAATAAAGTAAAATAAGGTATCTTGAGAAAGATCTCATTCATATAACTTTTTGTGCAATATATTGTCATAATTATTCTATTTTATTAAGAGGTTGTTAACCTCTTACTGTGCCTAATTTATAACTTAAATTTTACCATGGGTAGGTGTGTATAGGATTAAAACATGCATGGAGAGGGCTTAGTACCATTTAAGTTTCAAGCACCCACCGGAGTATTGGGAGTATCACCAGCACACAGACTGGGACAACTACAATTTCCCACTAGCGATCCGGGTTCTTTGCATTCCTTCCAACATTTCCTATTACCACTATTCTAATTTTAGTTCTCTTGACACGTGTAGTAAGTACTGTGGTTTTAATTTCCATGCTCCCGATGACGAATCATGAAATCTATAGTCTTGATGACCGCCTGTAAATGTTCTTTGGGTGCAATCTCTTCATGTCCTTAGCCATTTTCTATTTGAAATGTTTGCATTTTCACTGTTGAGTTTTGCAAGTTCTTTATATATTCAGGTACTAGTTCTTGGTGAGATGTATGGTTTGAAAATGTTCTTCCCCATCACGGCTGTCTTTCATTCTTCACCGGTCATTCACAAAGTGATTTCTTCATTCTGATTAGGTCTTACATCGATTTTTCCTTTTATGAGTTCCTTTTATGTATTTGGTATCAAAACTAAGAACTCCTTGCCTTGTGCCAAGCCCAAGAGGTTTTCCCCTACATTTTTTTTGTAATCTTTTCCAGTTTGTATCTTGTATTTAAATATATTACCCATTTTAGTTAATTCTTTAACAAAGTTTAAGATTTAGGTTACGGTTCACTCTCTCCCTGCTCTCATGGATGCCAATTACTGGAGAACCATTTGTTAAAAGAGCAGTTCTTCTCCACTGAATTTCTTTGGCACATTTGTCAAAAGTTACTCAGGAATATTTGCGTAGTCACAGCCCTTTGTTCCCCCACCCTGAGCCACATTCTCAGGTCACATCAGATGGGTCATCATTCCGTAAGTGGTCCCAATGGCTTCAGCCATTCTCCCCCCTCTGCCCTTCTCTCCCCACTTGAACTTTTCCCTCACCCATGAACTCTGCAAACACCATCAGCTCCTGGGCTTTTATGCCAGATTTCTAATACTTTGCTTACTTCTACACACTTTTTTCCTTCTAGTATACAATAAATCTCTTGAGGGTGAGGAAAATGTCTCAAAATGTCTCATCTTTCTTAATATCTTCAACACTTAGTTACTTCTAAAAGGGTGTGTGATTAAATACCTCAGGAAGTTTTGTAAGTAACATGGTATGTGTATGTGAAAAGTGTAAATGTATGTGAAATGTAAATATGCACAAATATGCATGCAAATGCAGAAAAATATTCTCACTTTTTATTATTTGCCATAATGGAATATGTGTATAAGTGACTATTTTAGCAGTAATCACCAGATCTCCAGTACTCTAATAAGACTGGTCAATGACTCTTGTCATTGTATAAACAAGTTTGGTAGGGAAGCTGGTTGAACAGAGAGAGCCAGGAGATTAAAAAATGAAAAAACAGACCATGATATTCTAATTTCTCTCCTTTTGTACTCTGTATCTATATCGATACAACAGGAAAATTTGTAAGAAATGAAAAAAAGCAGACTCATTTCAAGTCTAATTTTACTTTTTCTTGTTTATATCAATACAAGAATATTTATAACAAACACAATAAAAAGCACACTAATTTTAACTCTGATTTCTCTTGCTCTTGACCTCAACTTTGCTCAGTGCCTGCTTTATTTCTGTGTATCTTCAAGGACTTCCTCGTGATGTCCTTATTCGGACACCCAGTGCTCATTAGAGGATCCGGGGAACTATCACACAGCATTCACCCATCCATGCTTCCACTTCTTTTCTGAGTACTGCCACATCAGCCACTGACCACAGCTGGGATTTCTCAAACTGCCAAAGCTGTGCAATGCACTTTGAAGTGAGAGAAAATAATCTCGCTCCCCTTCTTATATAAATCTCATAGGGATATACAGAGGGGGATCTTATATTACACACCAATATCTTACAAAGCTTTTCATGAAAATAGTTCTTCCATTTTTAATCACAGGCCTCTGTGTCCTTAATTCCCAGACATGAGGGAGTCTACATGAGGGCCACTGCCAGGTGGCAGAGGCTCCGCCCTTCAAAGGCTTCACTGCAGGGCCCAGCTAGTCTATTTGACACTTCCCAGAGTAAGTCCCAGTGATGAAGCCAGCAGACTCCCTGAAAATCTGTTATATACAAATCTGAGCTCAAGTTGCACCTGGGGCAGGGGTGAGAATGCTCAGGGAACTGCCCTAACAGCTTTGAGAGCATGGCCTGGGATTCTGGTTCCAAAACCACTCTTTCCACTCTACTATCTTTAACATCTTGTTAAAAACCATAGTTAAAAATGATTAATTAGAATTACATAATTTCTACCCCATAACAGAATTACATTATTACAGTCGATGTGTTTCATACTTTGTATCCTTTCCTTAAATAATATCCAAGAAAGTATAAAAGAAAAAAGAGAAAGGACAGAGCGGGAATGTTCTATATATTTTGCAAGTCTTCACATCTTTTGCAGAATACTATATGCAGTGATTAAGCATCACGGTAGATATGTAGCACACTGACTTAACAACAGCTGTTGTTATCTGTTCAATTCCTTTGGTACTCACAATATAACCAAAGTTGCAATATAACAATCGCGCATCAAATAATGCCATTTTGGTCAATGATGGACCATGTGTAAGATGGTGGTTCCATCAGATTATTTCACCTAGTGACATTGTAGCCACCTTAGATTGCATAAACACAGTCTGTTTGTTCTTCACCCAGTGACAAAAATCACCTAATGACACTTTTCTTACAATATAGCCCTTCACTAAGTGACTCGTGTTTATACTTAAAAATGAAGACATTGAGGCCCAATGATCATACAACTTGTTTTTAAGCTCAGAACTGGCTAACTCCAATGCCTGTGTTCACCTGTCATACTGCACTGTAGCCCCACGCACCATTCCCTGTCCTCATTTCTTCTGAACTCTCTTCTTCATCTTTCTGCCTCCTCAGAGCTCCTGCATCAACACTAGACACACATTCCATCTTGTTGTTTTCCCACCGCAATAATGAAAATATGCTTTAGAGTGAATTGTTACACCCTTGTGTCAAACAGTGTACAGTGAATGCTTGTACACGTTAATAGATACCAATCACATTAAAAGTGTTCTTTTTGCTGTAATAATTCCAAACCCACCAATTCTGAATCAGTCAGAAAACAGTGAAGACTTGGTTCATGCTATGGGTAAAAGTTATTATAAAGTTTAATTTAAAAAGCTATTCACTGTTTATTTTGTTTATGTGAAGACAGTACACTTTAAATCACTTGATGAAAAAAATCTCAAAAAAACTCTTCTGTGCATTTCTATAGTATTATCCACTAATTATTCATTCATGGTAAAAAAAAAAAAAGAAGAAGCAAGAATACTTTTTTAAAACATTATGGGTGAGTAAAGCAATTCAAAGAGGTGTATATCAAGCCTAGGCCCAGCGGCTCCAGCCTGTAATCCTCGCTATTCAGTAGGTGGAGATAGGGTGAGAGAGGATCACTGAGGCTGGCTCAGGCAAAAAGTCCACAAGACCCGCATCCTGACCAATAGCTAGGTACCGCAGTATACACCTGTTATCCCAGCTATGTGGGGAAGCACAAATAGGATAGTGGTCCCTGCTGGCTGGAGCATCATGTGAGAGCTTGTCTCAAAAATAACCAATGTGAAAATGGCTGGTGGAGTGACTAAAGTCCTAGAGTGCCTGCTTAGCATGTGTGGGGCCCTGTATTCAAACCCCAGTACTGCTGAAAGAAAAAAATAAAGAAGGAGTACATGTCATCTGTGATGTGCATTGATTATGTTTACAAAACTTCAACCACTAGTGCATTAGTGAAGAACAGGCTTAAAAATTTATTAAATAATATAAACTTTGAAATTTCAAGTGTTTGTATTTTAACTAGGAAGACAACTCCTAATGTTATTTCTTGAGACTTTCCACTTGCTAGATATTGGAAGAATCAACTTTGTCTGCAAGGTTTTCTTGCAGTTAACTGAAGCAGAATGTCAAGAAATGATTCCTCCTCCTATTAGTGTATGTGAGGGATGTTCTTAGCTATAATCTATTAGTGTTGAATAGGTGCCAAGCATTGTAGTAAAGCTTACATTATTCTCCCCACAACACTAAAGGTAAGTATGGTTATCACCACTACCCAAGTGAGATAATAGATCCATGTAAAATTTGAATCATTGGTATATTTTGTAAAAATCTACATTTTTAGAACTGACTTATACAATTCACAGACCCTTAAACCAGACTTTTCCAAAGGCCTGATGCTTGTAAATATGCCATTTTTCTACTTTATCCATATCAACACTACAGGGGTCCCTCATGAGCTGTTTTCTCTGTAAAGCAGAAAGGAGCTCATCTGCTGAGGGTGTAATAGGAAGAAAAGGGGAGGTGTGATTCCTTCAGTTCAAAATGGCCACTATGGAGAAGAGGAAGGTACATGGTCTAAGGTCCTAGGGAAACTTCCAGGCAGCATTGGCATCCAGACCAGCTAAAGAGTATGAATTAAAGGGTGAGGATTTTGAGATGTTTACAGTAGTTCTGAAAATCCTTTATCAACCCAGGGTACTTCATAGATGGAATGGAATAATTTGAATGATTGACAACAGAAAACTAACATTGCCCTGAATAGAATATGAGTGAGTAAGAAGAGCCCTGGAACAAAGTAGACTGACTTCATGTCATATTGCACATTGTGTCCTGGGATTGAGTTATTATTTAATTGCTAAGTGAATGACCATTTAGGGCAAATAACAGATTGATCTCAATCTGAATTTCATTGATAACTTTTTCCTCTTCTGTGTTGGGGATCGAATCTAGAGCCACACACAGGCTAGGCAAGTGCTCTCTCTACCACTGAACCACATTCCTACCCTCCCTGATAACTTCATGGTTCATAAATGGAAGCTGACACTGTAACTGTCCAGACACCACATGCACGCTCACTGGAGGAGGCCTCCCTGTTGACTCAGAGAGCTCCCTTCTCAAATGGTCTCCTGGGCTGCTATTTTGCAATTTTGCCTATATTGAGAATGTTTCTTTCTATCTTGTAAAAAGCAAGTTTGTAGCAGTATAAGAAACTCTTCTGCTAAATATGTTATGATATGTTTCCCTGGCAACCATGTAAGATTTCCACCGAACCTTCCCTTCCTTTCATGGTAGGTGACTAATATCTTCATAGTACCACACTTTTAAAATGTTTACCATTGCAGGTCTCCCGTGGTAATGACTGTAACTTACTTCGTGAATATTGTAAAAGCATAGTTGAACAGATCCTCTAGTTTAAAAAATAAAAAAGTCATATGAAAAAAGAACAAAACCCCAAACTCTATATACAGCATAATTGCACATCAGATTCCTTAAAAAAAAAAAAGATTAAATGTAGAAAACAAAAAGGACATCTAAATGTTAGCTATAATTATCTTCTCATGGTGGAAGTTCAGATTTTCCTGCCTTTTTCATTCTTGTTTGTTTGTTTCACATGTATTTTACTGACTGAACATTATTTTCATAATTAAAAAGTATATAATTTTAAGTAAAATGGAATCATAGTGATGACTTCATCTGCACAAGGGAATATTGCCACACTTCATTGAAGGAGTACAAGGAAATCATAGAATTGCTCTTTCCTCATTAGCCTTCAGCATAGAAAGATGGAGTTCAAGTTCCAATGTTACTCCATAAATTCAAGGACAGTCTAAAGGGGAAGAATGTTTAAATTTGTTCCTACAGAATAATTTACAGTCTCACTAAATTTGGAGTGAGCAAGTTTTAGTGGAATCAGTAAATTCTAAGATTCTTAGAGAGTCTGCCATTAAATTCCATTATATTAGCAAAACCTTTAGCTTTTTAGATTAGCATTTGAAATGAAAAATTCTAACATTAGCCTACCCACTCCAGGGTACAAGATATTAGCTAAATATTTGTTATTAAAAGAAAAATGCATTCAAACATATCTAATTAATGTTCTCATTTTTCTCCTCCTTCTCAGGTAGTATATGAAGACGTCACAGAGCTCCAAGAGCATGTATTAATGGTTATTGTGAAGAGCAAGGCTGTATTTGTAGGAGCAATTAACATCCAACTCTGTAGTGTTCCCCTCAATGAAGAAAAATGGTATCCACTAGGAAATAGTATCATTTGACCATCGCAATGAACATATGTATTATTCTTTGATTACTTGTGACTTTTTTTGCTTCTAAGGCCTCTAGTACACAAACTGGGCATCTCTTACCAAAGATGGCATAAGGTATTGAGGACATAAGAAAAGAAACTATAATCAGTCTTTCATAGTTGTTTATTCTCTACCTGGGTTACCTTGTTTTCTTAGAACCTTCTCTCCTTAAGTGGAGTGCTCACTTTGTACTATTCCATATGTGATGTAATAAAAGAACAATTATTTTTAACATATCCTTTAAGTCAAACATATACACATTTTGTCTTATTTGCTTGCTTATAGTCAACAGCAATACTTTTAATTTATTTTCTAAGACAGACAAATCAATAAATCTCATTGATTAATTTAAAAGTTAAGTATATATGTAGCAGGTTTTTGCAACTTAAGTATGTGTAGTACCTGTAAATGCACTCATAATCCCATTAATTGGGAGAGCTAATAAGCTGAACAGAAAAGTACTACATTGTTTTCTATCAGAAAACCAAAATATAAATGCCTAAAAATCTTAAATTCAATAACTATAAGAAACTCCTTTGTGGGTGGGGAATAAAGGAGAATGATGATGGAGGTGAATGTAAGTATGATATAGTTGATATATTGTAAGAACTTTTTAAATGCCAGAATGTACCCCCATCCAACACAACAATAAAAAAGAAAGAAACTCCTTGTACAGTAGTTTTTGTCCTCTTCAAGAACAATTAATTTGTCACTGGCTTTCTCCAAACCAGGGGTATGATCACATTTTAAGCCTTGTTATCCCCAAACTTCAGGATCTACAATTTGTAGACTCTCCTCTTTGATTAAATCTTATCTTTGCACATTATTGTCCTTAACTTCTGAATCTACCCTCATAGTCACCATCACCTGAATAAACAATCCTACCTGCAGATTTCCACCTGCAGAGCACATTCAACCCAAGATACTGTGCCACATTCCTTTAAAAATTCAAACAGGAGATTTTAAAATTTTTTCTGCTATTCAAATTACTGGAGTTTTTTTTTAATACTTACTTATTCAATGTTTTACTTTATATGAACAAAAGAGAAATTTAAGTTATTTTATTTGGTCATCTACATAACCAAATAAACCAAAAAAAAATATTTATTGATTGAAAAATATTTCAGAGCTTTATATGATCAGTGCATTCTTATCTGATATATATGATATGCAAGTCCAGAATGCTCTTAATGCTGTGAGCAGTTATTCTCATAGACATTACAAGTACATGCTTGAGCCCACCACTTCAATGAAACTTCTTCTGTCAAAGTCACTACTGATCTTCATGCAGCTGGGTCCAAAGGTCAGTTTTCAGCCTTATCCTGATCTTACCTATCAACAGTATTTAAGATAATCAGTAACTATCTTCCTCAACACTCTTTTATCACTTGGTTTCCAGGAAACCACACCCCCATGCGCTTTCCCTTTACTACCTTGGTCCCTCCTTCTCAGTCTTCTGTGCACACTGTCTTCTTCTCCACATTCTCCAGTTAGGGTGTCTCAGGGCTCACTACTGGCCTCTTCTCCACCAAGTATCATCCCTTTAACAGGTTCCTCTATTGTCAATCTTTAAATATCTGTCTTCTGATGATTCCCAGTTGTGTAACTACAGTCCAGAATCCCTCTCAAATCCAGGAGTGAGTATACTGTTGCCTATTCAATATCCCCTTGGATATCTAATGAAGACTTCAAATTCATTATCTCCAAACTATACCCCTAATCATTCCCCCCATACCTTCCTGCTTCATTCATATAGTTTACCCTCTTAGCTAATAATAAACTCGCCCTTCAGTTGTTAAGGGGAAAAATACTTGATTCATTCTCTCTCTCTCTCTCTCTCTCTCTCTCTCTCTCGTCTCCTCTTTCTATACATACACATACACACATATGTATGTGCATATATATGTATATAAACATATATATAAAACATATGTATATCAGTTGCATATACATTATACATATACATTACAATGCACAATGCATGAGGAACGTCCATTGGCTCTACCTTCCAAATACATCTCAAATCCAGTCACTCTCCACCTGCTGCCTCTCTGGTCCAAGTTCCCGCAATCATCCTTGCCCTGGATTACTAAACAGCCCCCTTCTTTCTATGCTCCCCTTGTCCTCCTTACAGTCTATTCTCAACACAGCTACTGGAAAGATCATGTCATACTTTTGCTCAAAACTCTGCAAGGGCTTCTAATCTCAGAGTAAAAATCCAAGACTTTAAAATAACCTAAAAGGCCCTGTATGATCTGACCTCCATCAGCTACCTCTCTTGATTTTAACTCTTGTTATGTCCCCTATGCTCACAGCACTCAAGCTATGAACCTTCTTCTGTCCCATGAGCACTCCAGGCATGCTTCATCCTTGGAATCTTTGATCAGCCATCTCTTTGTTCCCCAAATGTGCTTTTGTCCTTTATACCCACTTGTACAACTCCCACACCTCTTTCATATCTTCCTCAAATGTCTCCCTCTCTGGAGGCCACCCTGACCATTCTATGTGATATTTCAACCTGTCCTGTGCCCAGAAGCACACTAGATCCTTCCAGCTCTGCTCTTCCTTTTTTTCTTATGCACTTATCACCTCTGGACATTCTATACATTTACCTTTTGTTTTTCTTATTATTTGTGTTTTGCCTCCCTTTGATGAACAGCAAGCCCTAAGGCTACAAAGGTTTTGTTCACTGATAGTACAGCTTCAGAGAGAGGAAGGAGGAGCCCTTCACCATACAGAATTCTGACTCCTTCAGGTGTGACTCTGAGCTACACACAGAGCCTCATACCAGATATCAATTTTGGTACATAAAGGTCCCAAATTGCCCTACCCAAAAAGTCTTCACAGGCTTCCTCTCTGCATTTATTCATCTGAAGTCAGACTCATCACCAATGAGTGCAATGAGAGGCCCCCAAGGATGGCAAAGGGAAGGCTTTCTGCAGGGAATATGGAAGCAGTTTGAATGTCCCAAAGAAAAAAAATGTGTATAGGCCACCCAAGATACAGAAGTGAACCAAGGCTAAGAAGAAAAGGCAGAATATACAGAGGGTTTCAGGACAGTACTTTTAATACTGGGTAATCCAGCATGAATTACCAAAGAGTCTAAGAATTCTGAACTTAATTCCATGCTTTCAGGTGTTTTTGGAAGTATATTTCTCATAAGAGAATAGTATATTGTATTTAGCAGCATGTTAGTTTTATTATAATATCTAAATTTAGGCAGATGGCATGTGGCTGTTTTACATTGATTCACCAAAATTCATGTGTTGAAATCCTTACTCTCAGTATCTCAGACCATTTTTGGGGGAATAGGGTGATGGTAGACATAACTAGTTAAGAGGAGGTCACATGGACCAAAGTGAGATGCTACTCCAGTATGGCTGGTGTACTTAAAAAGGGGAAGGTCTGTGCACAGAGCAAATGTCATATAAACAAAAAGGTAGAGATGTGTATGACACATCTGCAGGCCAAGAAATGCCAAAGATTGCCAGAAAACTACATGAAACTAAAAGAGAGGCATGGAACAGATTTCAGAAGGAAACAAACTCTGCGTAAAATAGTCTGCATTTAAGCCACTTGGTGGGTTAACTAATACATTTGTTGTCTCCTTCCAGCCCCAGAGATACCTGACATACTGTGTACATGTGCATGTGTGTGAATTAGTGCCCTAAACAAATGACTGACACAAAAATGACAAGGAAAACAAGGTCGCTAATCTCAACTCACATTCATACAATGTTTTAAGGTTCCTTTAGGATTTAAATATGTATCTTATTTGTTTCCTGTAAGAAATATACTGAGGTAAGGAAAGAAGGGATTACTGTGCCTCTGGAGAGTAATATGTTAATGTCTCAGAGCAGTATAATCTTCCTACTCAAATAGAAAATGCAAGGGGTGTGTGTGTGTGTGTGTGTGTGTGTGTGTGTATCCTCTGAAAACTTCTACAAAAACCCAAGACAGCTCAAAAAAACCTAAAAGAAATTAAGGAGCACAGATAATTACATGGCTAGTGATATACAAATGGTTGTGATACCTGAAATCCTCTCCCAGAAAAAAATGGTTCTGCTCAGGAATTAATATCCAGAGGAAGCAGATTATTGAGGACTCATCACTATTTACATATTATCCATGCCAAAAGGGAAGACTTGATAGTACATAGGGAAAATTCTAATGACTAAATCAATTTCCCTACAACTTTAATCTTCATGCTGTAACATGGAGATTACAAACTTAAATAGCCCAGGATATTCTAGGTTGTCATTACAATGTACTGCTCGGTCAAATCCCATCCTAGCAGGCCAAAAGTTTGAACAGAGGCTTAATTGTACTACAAACCATAACAAAGTTGTAACTTAAAACTTTTAGCTTCAGACACAGGTTTTCTTGACCACTATTAAACTCCACCAAACTAGGTTCCTTTGTATGTTTGAGTGCTATTTTAAAGTGACAGAGAACCAGAGGAGACAAGAACAAACTTCAAGAAGCATGTCCTTCAACTTCGGTCACCTCAACAATACAGTGTTAAGTAGGCTCTGAGTTTGATAATTAAAGAAACTAATTACTAGAGTACAGGGATTCAAACTATAGCCATAACTATAGAAGGAAAGTTGGTTTTATTAATATTTAAATGAAAAGCAACAGGGACTCTAATTAAGACAGAATGTTCTTTCCCTAAACTGAGGTAGAAATAAGTAACTGAGATTATCATGTACCCAAAATTTAAGGAAGCAATTTAAAAGGTGGAGCTCTGTAATTCCCCCAAATCAAGAAGGAAATGGTATATTTTGAAAAAGAACTTTATTTCTTACTATCAGAATAAGTATAATGAAAGAAAGAAGGTAAAATAGAAAATGTCAAACTGAGTAATATTGAGAAAGACAGCTCCTTTAAAAAGTTGAGATCTTAAAATGCAGACTGGGCCAATGTGAAGGAAAAATAAAATGCTAAGTACCAGGAGAAAGGACTATAAAGTTAAGAAGGCAATACACTCAAGTTAGACTTCTCTTGAAGAAGGTAGCAGAAAAGGGCAATACGTTTTAGTTTCTGAAAGGAAGATTGGTATCTTTTTTAAAAAGTCTATCAGAAAGAGCTTTGCAGAGCACACACAATGATTTCCTGAAGAGAACCAGAATCAGAATTTTTTTTAAATGATCTCTCTTAAAGTACCAGTATTTTGTAAGAACAGTTGAATCAACTTCCTTTAAGAACTGGAACAGATCTTCCAAGGGGTTGGGGAAAAAAATCTGATCAAATTTGAGAAGGAAATCCTAGGAAGAGCTCAAAGAATTATTATGTGAGTTTCAAAGGAATAAAATTATCACCAGGCCGGTGCCTCAAGGAAATATACATGGA